GATAGATAGATAGATAGATAGATAGATAGATAGATAGATAGATAGATCTGTTCTTCTTCTTAGTCCCATCCAGCCACAGCCCAAGGTATTTGTACACGACCTCTCCCTCCTTTCCTTTCCCTCGAATTGGTCAACGGACTTGGTATGATTCTCCCAAAGTCTATGACCAGTTATTTAATCTTTGAGTTGTTCAGCTGCAGGTTCTTTGCGGGGCATGTGGCTAATACAGCCCGTAATTGCTGGATTTGTGGATTGGTTGTACCGGCTGTAGAGTTAGTTCAGTCTGGATCCTTCCGCATCATCTCCTCCACACACCTTGCTGCTTCCGACTGAGAGACGTAATTTCTCCAGACAGCCCTGAGCCATCCTTCTAAAAGTACATGGCCAAGTAAAAACATCCCCATAGAGGCCATAAGAAAGAATACAAACTTGATTCGGCTCTTTTGAATGTGGAGGAGCAGTGATTTAACTCTTTTTAGAACAGGACTTACCCTATCTTTAAAAGTAAGGTCAGTGAGGACTTGAGAAAGATTGGAGGTGCTCATTCTTCTGGAAAATGCTATTTTCCAATCCTCACCTGAATGAACAATAAAATCCCGAAAGAACTAAAAATAATTTTCGTAAAAAAGTATAACAGAATTGCGACAAAGGGAGCTCTTCCAGTCCAACAGTGACAGGAAGGCCTACAACAACAGTCCTGACAAATGTTTGTGCACCTCCCACAAAGCCCCAAAAACAAATGAAGATTGATTAAAAAATACCACAAACTCTTCAATATCCTTGTGAAGTTAATTAGCTGGACCAGTGTTTCACAACTACGATGCAAACCAGTTTGCTCCTCTGGAACGTGAGCTTTGACTATCTGCAGGACTCTCCTCCACAGCACCCTGAAACAGACTTCAACAGACAGTTTGAAATAAACATAAAAAAATGGTGCAATAAACAAAAGGACCAGACTCATTTAATACTCTACACTCAACAACTACACTATGAACCCTTAATTAAACCAGAAACAGTGCTGGCCAACATGTACTTGGGGCCAGCAAGTGGGAACCTCCTTTGATCAGTCTTGGGTCTAGTTAGACCAGTGACACCTCCAGGAGGGTAGACTCTGAATCCAGGAGGCTAGACAGTGATGTCATACGAGGTGAAATCACCCTGCAGGTGGAAAACACCAACTGTGTGATTACAAAATCCAACATTGGACTGCAGCGTCCTTCAGTGTCCTCACACCAGGTGCACCAATGGACACTGCTTGGGTGTTTGTCAAGGACAGCCTATGACTAGCCAAGAGGTCCAACAGTACAACACGGAAGTTCAGATGGGGGGGGATCATCCCTGTGGTCCCATCCCTTCAGGTTTAGCTGCCATTGCCAACATTAGCATTTAAGCTAACCTGAAGGACAAAAGAATCCCTAGTCAGTGCAGTGCACTGGATGCAGGGATTTATGCAGATTTTGGTCTTAGACTTTGCATATTCTTATGGGGCCACAACATGGATGCTGTAGTTTCATGTCCCTAACTTATAATCATATCTCACATATTTTTGATTACATCGGTATTTGACCTATACTTTTTATTCAATGCATTGTGGGAAAAATCCCTTACTATGTGTGCCAATGTTTGTGTGCTCCATTTTACAGGGAAGGATGAACTGGAGATTTCCCCATATTATGATTCATTGATGGACACCCGCATGGCCTCTTTGGTTGCAGGTAAGTAACTTAGGCTGTCCTTGTTAAAATCACAACACGTCACAACAAAGGTACAATGAGGTCATTGGGCAGCATAAAAAAAAAGATAATTGTTTAAGAACAATTGTTAAGAATCAAAACATAAAGAACAAAACTAACTACCATTTGAAAGAGAAAAAAAACTTAGCAAAACTATGCTAACCAAACAGAAGTACGAAGAGAAAAGCACCTAAAAATCATTTCAAGAGCACAAAAACTAAAAGTCATGTCAAGCCTCACAAACTGTTTACTTTTCAAAGCAATCACCAGTTTATATCAAAGCGAAATGGCAGCGCCCTCTAAAAGTAAGCACAGAAATCTAGAAATATTGAGCAAATGAGCAAAAAATAACACAATTTAATCAATTCAGTTTTAACAAGATACAATAGTATTAACATAATACAATTAAACAATGCCACTCAAATGGGCCTTTAGTCTTTCTTAAAGATATAAATGGAACAGTTCTGTCTGAAAAAAGGCCGACTGTTCCTCTGCATTGGTGTAACAAAAGAAAAGGCCTTGCAAACTGTCTGTTAATGGATTTGGGGACAGACAAAAGACCAAAGTACAATGTACCAGAGTCTATATAACTACCAGTTCAGAAAGATATGATTGTCTTATGCAATTTACATTTCTTGTAAAGAACAACACCTTAAAGACTGCTCTCACTGGAACAAGAATTAATTAGAGTTCTTATTTAGACTGCTGGAACAGCTGCTTACTGGGCTCTAAACTAGCTGTGATCCAGCTGCAGAACATCCAGAACGCTGCTGCTCCAGCTCTGACCAGAACCGGGAAACTGGAAAACATCAGTCCAGTTCTCAGGAGTCTGCTCTGGCTTCCTGTCACTCAGAAAACAGGCTTTAAAGCAGCTCTGCTTGTGCACAAGTGTCCTCATGGTTACTTCATCAAACACACTAACATCTTCGGTGTGGTCAACTAATTAACCCTTTGGTAAATAAACAAAAGAAAGATGCACCCAAATGAAGGCTGGACAATACCCATACACACCCATGCATGCATACGGGGTGAAACACCTTCTTTAGTCAATCAGCAAGCTAACCAGCACACCCCTTTGATGGTTTCTGCCTTGAAGGGTTCTTTAATGCTGCGTATTTCTAATCTGTGTCTCTTTTCAGTGACCTTTTATGTGGACTTAAGCGTATCAAATAGCCATTGGTTATCTTTAATGCAGATGAGGGGAATAGAGTCAATGTCTGCTTTATCTCAGAGTAGAGCGTAGCTAAGACCATTGCATTGCCTATACTGTCTGAAAATGCAAGAGTTTCTCCTGCCAGGGTGCCTCTTATCTACACGTCTCATCTGCTTAGACTGCTAAAACAAAGAAGAACTTTTCCCTGTTTTTCCCTGGAGGGCAATCAATGTGTACCTCCATCTGGAAAATTAGCCAGAGAGGCATCACTGAAGACAACTAAACTCAAATCACGGCTGTTTCCCAAATGTTGAAACGTAGGTGTGACCGTTTCTGACTTAGGTTTATGAATCACTTCATGCTGAACAGTGGCATTTTTAATGTTAGATACAAACATAACATCTGGTCTCGTCTGCTTGGCAACCTACGAAATCTGTCCTGTTCGGCTCTAAGACATTCTCTGTCTGTTTCATTTAGTGGGGCATCACTCTGTACAGCCCATGCTACCCTTTAGTGAGCTGTTAGTTGGTTGTCGATGTGATTGTGCTGACGCTCCTTACTACAGTCTTTTGCCTGCAACTTATGCCTGCAACTCAAGGTGGTTGCAGCCACTTGATGTGGGCACATAGGCCCTGGAGTGTCTCTAACCCTAACCCTATCCCTAACCCTAAACCCTTGTATCCTAACCCAGCCATGTCCTCCTCCCTCATCTGCACTAAACCAACCTACCTCCTGCACTAAACCTAACCCTAACCTTGACCCTCTCCTTAGCCCCTAACCCTAACCATCCACTTACCTGCATTCCCTACCCCAAATCCTAACCCTAACCTCCAACTATTGTCCAGCCCCTAGAAATTTAAGGACCCCCCTCTTGGATTCAAAGACTCAGGGACTTGAAAAGGACTTGGAAATGGAACTTAGGACACACCTTATAGGAAAAATGGGCAAACAACAAGGAGGAAGGGAAGGAAGAAGGGAAGAAAGGAAAGGGATGGACAATGGTGAAAGGAAGGAGAGAGAGAAAATGGGAAAAGGAGGAAAAAAGGAAGAGAAACTCGAAAAAAGAAAAAAAAAGAAAGAAAATCCAGATGACACACAGAAAGAAAAGAGACAGGAAAAGAATAAAAAACTAAGTTAATTACTCACCACCTGGCAAAGGTATAAAAGGAGACACAAAGCTTTCAGATCCTCATTTGCCACTGCCACCGCCTGAGGAAGGGCCACAAAGCCCGAAAGCTAGCGGGCTAATGGCAGCACCTTTTAGCGTCTTTTGCCTGGTTTTAAGCTAGTTTAAGCTGTTTTAAGTGTGTTTTATCCATTCATTTTTGCAAAAAATTTTGTTTTAATCTTTTATTGATGTTCTTGATACACAGCAAAAAGATTTTATAACATTTTCGCATAAAACAGGAGCTGACTACAATTTAAAACCTTTTAGCCTTATTTTACTTACCTGGGGACTCCTGGAAACCTGCAATGGAACGTACTTACCTGCAGAAGATACCTACCTACCTGTGTGGAACCTGAAAAAAGAGAAAGAAATGCAATATACTTACTTGGGGAGCCGGAGGAGCTAACAAAATGGTGGACAAGTTCGAGGGAGGGTGGAGAGCGCACCTGTTGCCCCTTCCCTTGCGGGGAGGGGCAAAAACCCTTGTATCCTAACTCTGCTAACCCTAAACCTAACCCTGACATGGCATTGTTCAGGGCAGTGTCCATTCAGGAGATCTTTACTCTGCTTTATAAGGTTAATGTCACGGTGCCTCCGTCGGCCCATTCTGTTCTGCGTTTGGCACCTGCCACTCATGGAGGCCGATAGGGTTCTGCTCGGTAGGCAGTACTTTCCTAGTAGGTTGTCTGCTTAGCAATCTGGGAGTCAGGCCTGTGCAGTGCCTGACCTACATGTAGGGGGAGGGTCTCACCCTCCCTCTCACTGACAGGCTTGTCCCCAAAGCACACATTGCAAAGTGCAGTAGGAGCTTCTGATGAGGTCATGCCCAGAGTGCTTCCCAATAAAATGAGACACTCCCTCATGCTACTCAGAGAAACGGGGTTACGCAAGTATCTTAGAGTGTTTGGCCCAATGGTACGCTCTCTGCGTGCCATTGGTGATTTTATGGACTTACCAAATGGGCTTACCGTATCTGTCCAGTGGGTTTTTAGCCTGTTGTGGCTACCGCTGTTACTCCATCTGAATTTGTTTGGTGATTCTTTTTATTTTTCTTCCCTTAAAAAATATTGCATCTAATTTAGCAAACAATTCGTCCATACTGTTGTTTTTGTTCAGATCGTCAGCAGGTATATGCAAAGCGATGTCTCTGGCTCTCCCTGAGGGTGTGTTTAATTTTTTATTCTCCGTAAAACCATAAATACCCCATATATCTCCATAAAACTTTCTGAAGAAGGGAGACAGGCCTTAACTCAAGATGAAAACGATTTAACTTTTGGTATGACAACTGGCTGTATTTCATTATTACGCTTCACTTTTGATTTATTTAATCAATGATTTTTATTTATTTATATTCTGTTTAAGTTATTCTTAATTTCTCATTTTAAACAATAACTTTTTTTTGCATTTTTCTTTTTTTGCCTTGCCTTATGTTCAAATTGACCTAAAAGATGGGTTGCTGCATTTTGAACAGTTTGCAGAGCCTGGATCCTAGATCTGAGAATATTTCAATTTTAGATTATAGATTAAAATGCTTGATGAGACAGACGTGATCTTAGTAATGTGTCTTAGATGAAAGAGGCAACATTTGTGTCCTCTTTGACATGAAAAACAAAAGAAAGTTTCCTGCCCAAAACAACGTCTAATGGCTCATAAATCTGTCTCTACAGTGAATAACACAGTCATCCATTTCATTGTCAAATGTTGCAGATTCTCAAGCCTCAGTTCAGAAAAAGCCTTTTCCAAATGGCTCTCTTCCTCTTTGAACTGTAGCAGCTGTTTTATCAGTTCTAAGTGGTCTTCCCAACTGTGGAAATATGTCTAATAAAACACAGAATCACACAAATAGAATGATCAAACGCTACCAAAAATATGAAACATCTCTACTTGATTTGTTTCTCTCTGACTTCACACTTTTTTTTTATTTTACTCATCTTCCATTCAAGTTGCAGTTAATATATGCCATATGTCATAAATTGACTGAAAACACAGACCCTCTGACATAAATATATAGAAAAATAATAATAGACATGTGTTTAGGTGAAGCAGTCGGCTGAATGTGTTTGCCAAAGAGGAAATACTTTGGTATTCTCACTCTCAAAACCTTAAAACAATGGATCGTTTTTTTTAAAAAGTTTCAGACTTTTCATTTCTGATGTCCACTTCACGTATGTGCACAATCAGCTTATTCACCCCTTGGTCTTCTGCCAGTACCTCAGGGAGTACTGGAAGAAGAAAATGTGAGCATAACTGAGCTATTATGAAACAAGATTGTTTTAAGGCTATATGTGTATGACCCAAACCTGCAGCTTTCTTTATCTTTACACAAATTGCACTAAGATAAAGACACATGTCACTTTGAGTCTTTGTAGGTAAGAACACTGACTCAACAATCAGAATATCGTAACATTGTGGTCAGAAAAAATGCCTTCTTGAATACATTATATACCCCAGTCTTTCTTTTCCACAAACTTAAAATTTACCACCTTTTGTCTCCTCATTCTGTTACAAACTGACTGACTGTCAGTCTTCTTGATCAAGTTTTCTTTTTTGGTAAAAGCTACATATTCTTGATAGCTAACATGGGCAGGAACTAAAACCCAACAGATCAACATTGGTGTTCACAGACGCTCTTTTTCTATCATGGTATAAAATGTAAGGGTTGTTTACGAAAACTGCAACTCACCTCTTTTACTCTCCTACTCATGTCCATCTTACCAGCCTCATCTCTCATGCAACTGGACGGTGAGAACCAGTGCCTGAAGGCCGCCCAGGACTGCGGCCTCTTCGAGAAATGCGGTTCCCTGCGATCAGAGTACGTGTTGGCCTGCACGAAGCCGATGCCCGGGACCTCCCGATGCAACCAGCACAAGTGCCACCGGGCACTGAGGCGGTTCCTGGAGCGGGTCCCTGAGGAGTACAGCCTGGGTGTCCTGTTCTGCCCCTGCGTTAACAACCTTTGCGGGGAGAGGAGGAGGAAGACCATTGTCCCCTCCTGCTCCTACCAGGATTTGGAGGGTCTCCAACCTAACTGCCTCCATCAGCAGAGTTTCTGTCGCCGGGACGACCTCTGCAGGTTAGACAGCCTGTTGTTAACGCACACTATACCTGCCAAAAGTATCTGCTCGCCTGCCTTGACGATATGAATTCAAATGATGCCCCATTCTTCTTTTTTCTTGTCAAGCGTCATGGCAAGCAAAAAGTTGCTGCCGTACTTACGCTAAACCGATTTGCTTTACCTTTCCGTATAACCCTTGATTAATTATCTATTGCTTTTAAGGTGTTATGTGCGATCTTATGCCAAAAGCATCTGCTCTCCCACATCTGTCAATTCAAGTGCTTCCCAATCACTTCCTTTGTGTGATACAACCACTTACTGTGGAATATTCCAGTTTGGAAATTGGATTTCACAACTGGACTTGATTTCATTACCACTCTGATGTTTGTAGAAACAGTCCACAGGCCTGGGTTGTTGGTTTAATAACATTATTTAGGTGGGTGAGTGATACTTTTGACAATATAGTGTATGATACATCTGAATAGGTGCATTATTTTTGCGTACTGTTTCTGTTGTAGATTAAGTATCTGTTTAAAATCTAATTCTTTTTTTGTATGTTACTTGGTTATTGGGATTGAATTTTCTTGAATGTTTTCCTTTTATCAAAGTATTTTTCCAAATCATTATTATGTGCTTCTGTAACCGTGGTAATTGCTGGATTTGGAAAATATTTATCCTGTTTGATTCTTCAGTGCTCATCTCCAATGGATCGTTGGATCCTTCTTCACTTTTAAGCATCTCTTGAAGATGAATCTCTTTCAAAAACCGACTTTCAACTGCTCAAACTCAGCCTCCCAAATTTCCTACCAATATTGTGTGTTTGATGTTGGCCTGTTTTTGCTTTTGCCAGGTCCAGATTGGCTGATTTCCTCACTAACTGCCAGCCATCTCCCATGACAGCGAGTGGCTGTTTGAAAGACTCAACAGGCCTTTGCCTCCGAGCCTATGCTGGACTCATAGGTACATGACCAAGGGGAGGGTCAATGAAGGGCCATTGTATTCTACTTCTAACCATGTAGAAATTCAAAGAGAGGACATTTTAGAAAGAAGTAGAGCCAGAATAAACTAAGAAACTAAGCATTTTTCCTCCCACCATTCAGTATCATTAGTTGGCTTATATGCAAACTATTTCCATCTACTCAATAGAATAACCATCTTTAATTCAAGTTAAAAATTGAACAGGCATATGTGCACATTTGTTGATACCACAGAACCAGAAAAGAATATGGAACAGTTACAGGACTGCCAGTGCTCTCGTGTGTGGTGATGATTAGGGATAAAACTGTCAGAGCCATAAGATGTTTACAAAATATTTAGGAATGATTTTGAATAAAATGTATACAAATTAATTAAGTTTTATTATTTGCAGTAACAGGGCGGATTATGTTAAACAAGCTATTTGGAAATAATACAAGCAAGAGAGAAATCGAAAAACATAATCAATGTGGGAAAAGTATTTTTCTGTAATATTTCCTATTTCTCCATTCACAATCTTCATATCTCCCAATATGTACATCTTATTATAGCACCATTAAACCAAATTATATTTAATCAAACAGTTCTTTATTGATACCTGAACGGAAATTATATTTGTGCTGCACAAATGATTGGGATAGGATCCAGTCCACTCACAACCCCGTCTTGGTATGAACGGGTATAGAAATGGATGGATGTGTGGCTGAAAGCATGACCGGTCAAACGCTTCAAGAGATGAATTGATTTACTGTCATGCATGGGACCTTTGACACCCTGAAGACTTCTGACGCCTCTGACCTGCAGGTACCATCATGACCCCCAACTACATCAGCAACAGCTCTGCCGACGTGTCGCTGTGGTGCAACTGCGAAGGGAGCGGCAACCAGTGGCAGGAGTGTCTGAGGCTGCAGCGCCTCTTCACCCACAACTCCTGCCTGCGTGAGTCCGCTCTGCCCACACAAACACACACCACAAACAGATATCACCAAGGATTTAGAAAGAGCGGGACTGGAAAAGGCTTAATCCGCTGGCCTTAACTAGTTCCGATTTCAATTCAAAGGCTACGATTAATTTACTATTTGCCTTTAACACTTTCCCAACAGTGCATAACAGTTTTAGAATCAGAATCAGAAATACTTTAATAATCCCAGAAATGATGTAATGTAATGTCACCATTACTCTGTCTTAGTCCTTCTATTAAAATATTTTTCTTTTAAGATGTTTCTCAAAGTCTCTGTCCATTAAATAATCTTAATTATTTACAATTTTTTTCCGAACCCACACTTTAATCTGACCTTAGCGTAGCTTTTCTTGTAAAATATAATACATATAATACATATAATGATATATATAATATATATATAATGTAACAAAATATGTTGCCAGTTAAAAATAGACATTTTTAATATATGTTGCCTCAGTGTCATCTGAATTATTAGTGCGAGGATCAGAATTATGAACACAATGTTTACTAGTCTCCGTCCAGATCCAGGCAGGAAGAGCTCAGAGGGAATAAATAAAGAGCAGCTTTGACACCGAGTCTGCTGAATGTGTCTGGGTGGCTGCCTCCTGCAGCTGTTCTCCCAGCGTGGGCTGAGCTCTGCTGCTTTCAATGTCGGCTACATGCTACCCTGTTAGCATAGATAATGGTTCTAAAACAGACCAGGAACAAAAGGAATATCCTGGTACGAACAAGGGGAAGTTTGCTTTTCGCTCCGTTGCGGCAGCTGTCGAGCATAACTATTGATACACAATGAATCTGTACGTCAGTTCGTCAAGGCGCTTCCCATAAAACTTGGTGATTTATCAAGCTGACGATGACTCCGGCAATAAAGCTGCCAAACAGATATGTTAGTTCACGCCCACTCATGCATCATCTCAGGCCAGCCGAGTGCACACAGTCTCCCGCTATTCTGTGGACAAACCCAAACCCGACCGAACCTAAAGAAACACCAATCCCTCAAACTGAACGCCACAACGATGCCATTAAGCTCAAGCATTAAGCTTCACGTATTCACTGCCGGTCACAAGGTAAAAACATGTCAGTGTCGGTCTGGAGTGCGTAAACACGCAGACATTGAGAGGTGCTGCGTTGTCTCCCCGTGCAGGTAATTCAATCAGCCTGATGGGAAGCCCTGGCCTGCCGCCGTCCGACATCACTCAGCCTCCCGCTCCCAAACCTTCTCCGCTGGTTCAGGAGGACGAGCTGTTGGGCAGCAATCACCTGCCTGAACTCACCAACGATGTGAGTCTGCCCAGGTCACCGTCATATTTCACAGACTCCTAACTGGGTTGGGCTGACATTCAATGAGCTTCTCGCTGTTTGCGGCTTGTAGAATTAAAATGTATTAATGGGGCTTTCAGAGTGTGGCGTACCTCCACCGGTCACTGCCCTACCCACAATGGATTAGAGTAGTTATTTGGGCCAGTAAGAGGAGCCCAGTTGTTGCTACCTCTTCTTTATTTGGCATAAACCTATAAAAGCACTATACTGCCCCCCGTCCGAAGGTGATCTCCATGTACTCTATCCCCTCTTTGTACTTTCCCCTATTTGTTGACACCTAAGCATTCACTCCTTTGGTTGATTTTTTTTTAAAATAGATCACAAGCAAGTGGCATACTTTAGTTTAAGCAGGATTGGAGATCACAGGACCACACCAACTGTCACAATCAATCCCTCAGCCAGAAGTCGGGATTGCCCTGCTCAATACTCATTCGCATTGACTCACAGATGCCTTGTCCTTTGTGAGCTTTTACCCTGAAAGTCCTTGGATTTATTCTTCTCGCTGAAACGTGAGGTGAGGTTGTTCCCCTTGACGAGCCCGTTCCTGTTGGCTCTCAGTTATTGGGACATATCGAGTGGGCTGGCTGTCGGGTACAGTAATAGATACTTCAGTAGGTAGATGACCTCCTGTCCATAACTAACTCAACTGATAGACATGTATCTGGTCCCACACACACCAAGGGACACACCCTGGACCTCGTTTTCTCTATTGGTTTAAACATCACTAACATTTATGTGGTGGATATACAGGATGTGATACATTGTTTTATTAGATCTATAATCATTGGTCAAAGCTTAGATCCAACTATATAGAAGAATTGATTATTGCACCAGATCCCAAAATCCCTCAGATCAAGTGGCTCATTGATAAGGATCTAGGCTAGTCTGCTAGGCCTATTCTGAGGAATTAAGGCCTTATTTTAGACTCGTCAATGAGCAGCACTGTAAAGACATGGACCAGAATTGCTTCCTCTACCTAAGGAACATTGCCAAAGGAAAGTCAAGGTCTAAAAAACTGAACAAGAGAAGATGACGCACGTTTTTATTTTATCAATTAAACTCACTAGTTTTAATAAGACCTCAACCATCTCCACTCTCTACAGAATACAGCTGCATGGGTTTTTGTTTTCACAGTTTTTATAATGGATTTGATCATTTTTATCATGTGGCCGGTGAGGCGTTCAGGAGAAGACATCAACTTTGAACCACCAAAATGTTAAGCTGACACCACATGTAGACACACATGTGGTTAGAGCACATATGCTTCGATAGACCCAGCTGCCCCGTTCTATCTCTGGTCACTAAACACGGTCCAATCCAATTGCGGTCCTGGCTGCTGTTACTCCGGGCAGACCACAGTCTGCTGTGGCTCACAGCTCCCTGCATGCCTCACAGTCATATATTATCTGGGCCTGCTGACAAAATGGGATTCCAACTCTCCTCCACTTGCACACTCTCTCCTCAAGTCTCTTTTTGTCTCTGTCCCAGGGAGCGGATTAGATGAGGTGTTGGTTGGAAAGACTTCTTCATTTGTATAAATTTATTCATGCCCATATGTTTCCACTATTACTTTTTCCCCCTAAATCTGTCTGTTGCATACTTCCTCGAGCCTACCACCTATAATCCATACACCTGCCCACAATCCATACTGCTCCACGTCTCTTTACCGGTCACTCAGCTCTTTATCTTAACTCCTCCTCAGAGCTTTCACTTGTTTTTATCAAAGTCATTATTCTCATAATTTGAGATGCTTTCATTAAAAAAAGCTCAGAATACGGCAGAAAAAAAGAAAAAAGTCACATTAAGAAACATAAACGTCTTTTTTAAAAAACAATGAATGAATTGTGTGGTAGGGTGTCATTTTAAAGTGGCCCGCTACTCATTGTGTTATTGGTTTCGTTTTCCTGAGATATCCATTTTTTGTTCTGACAAACCTTAATTTTTCATTCTTCATTTTTTGTAGTAGCTGTTTTAGAGTTTTAAATGAAGATTTATTACATTGATAAATATATATGGATTTAACCCACAGTGACACAGATATAACAAACTATTTAAACTGTGGACATATATTTGTATTTTTAATTTTTTTATGGTACCTAATTTTTAGGGTTCATTTGGTAATATTTTTTCCCCCTATAATTTCTCTTTCGAACAAAATGGGTGAGGGCTCTTATGGGCTAAGATCACTTTTGTAAATATAACAAAATGAAATAAGAACAGTTTTGGAGTAAGATTTGCAAAAATGTGAAAGTAAGTGAAATGTAAAATAAATAAAACATTTGGCTCAAGTATCTCGGCATACAATTAGCTAAAGTGTCTTGTTTGCTGATCTGTGAAATAATCAGCCAGGCCATTAGTTAACCACAGTAAGAGTTGAACACTAATGGCTGCAACCTCCTAAAGTGCTCTGTCCTGCAGCTCAGTGACATCCTGCCCAGGCACAGAATGCTCTGTACCTTCCTCTAGCTGCACCTTGCAGTGTCCAAACTCCTCCCCAGAACTGAACCAGCCCTGTGGATGGTTTTGTCAAGAAACTCCCTAGTATTTTGTCAAGCAGCCATCCCAACAGATAACAGCATGCTGCACAGCACTATAGACCACAGACTTGGTCAGCATTTCTCTACACACACTCAACAATTTGATCTTATGTAGAGAGTGGAGCAAACCATGCCCTTCTTTAAACGAGGCATCCCAGTTTCTTGACCAGTCAAGTCTGTCATCAATGTAGACAACCAGGTACCAGTAATACCACCCACCTCTATGTCCATCCCATCAACGATGACTTGAGAGTCAGCTATGTCCTCGGTCTTGGTGTTTTTCAATTGGAGATTCAATTGGAGGTGGTTTCTGGAACTTCATATTCTAAATGCACATGGCAGGAGTTGAAGATGACGAAGGTCTAGAAGCCAAATGTGTACAGGCTGAAGGGGAACATTCCTAGCACTGAGCCCCCATGCTGGCTCATGACTGTCTCAGATACCCAACTCTCTGATAGTCTATTGTACCTGATAAGGAAGTAATCCACCACATCCCTTCCAGCTTGTTTCCCAGGATATCAGGTTTAGTGGTAATAAGCCACTGGAGAAGTACAATTGGTCACTCTTCCATAACCACCGTGCTCATCCAGGTGAGAATGAACCCTGTGGAGCATGTAGAGCACCTCACCGACCCTGGGTGTCCTGCTACATGACCAGTGGGTTGACCCAGAGGTGGAGGTACTCGAACTGCTGGTGGTGGAGGCCTATCCCCACCTTTCACCGCCTGGCTGCAAGTGATTGTTCCCCTCCCTTCCACAAGTTGTTCTCTTCTGAGGAACTTTTCAAATTCTTGCTGAGAGAGATTGAGCTTTTCCCTGTCACCTTCAGTGAAGGCCTGTTTCCTTTTATTCAAAAGCTCCCTTACATCACTTTTGATCCAAGGTTTGGTCTGTCCTAACTAGTGTGACAGCGTCCCTACAGGAGTTCATGTGGTCCATGTCCATGTGCATAATTAGCTGTACATTCCAGGCTGACCAGAGGGCTTGTCTGGCCTCAGGTGTCCAGCTCCTGAATGTGCAGGGACCCATGCAGTATCTCTGCATAGGGGTAGTAGAAGGGCTGGAGGTAGACCAGGATGTGGACTGATCTAGCCAGCAGTGGTTGGCCATCAGTACTGTAAGCGTCAGAAGATACAACTGAAAGTAAAAAAAGAGTTGTAAAACTAACAAAAAGAATGTAAAACATGCAAGCAAGTGTCAGATGGTGCTTCAATTAGAGAGGGTCATGTAATTATCAGAAGCTTAACTTGACTTAATTTAATCTTATTGCCCTAATATGCATCTTGAGCTCTTCCAGATGCATCTGCAAATCACTGAGGAAGAACAGCTGGGGCCTAATCTAATTATTACCAACAAGCAGTACACTGAATCAGACCCATGATTACAACAAGTCTTTGATTGCCGTTATGTTAAATTTTGAATTGACTGCTATTTTATTTGTAAAGCGCCAAATAAAACAACATCACCAGGCGCCTCAAAGGTACCATCTAAGTCAGGCCAGCCCAGCCAAACTCGTAATACAATCATAGTCCATTCAAATCATATGGATGTTTTTCCAATTAAAACTTCATTTTACATCTGAAAAAGTATTAATACAGGAACAAACCTGGGCCTTTTAACATTTCCCTCCACAACCACACCGTCCACCATTCCAAACAGATGTTTGAAACTATTCTGAGGACTATTTTGAGCTCAGATATCGTGGGAGAGTTTCATATGTGGGACAGGTGACACAATTGAAGTGTTATTTTGCCAATAACAAGTCAAGCTTTCCTTCCTCTGCCAGTATTTTAAATGCATTATTTCTATTTTTGACCACATTCAGGAGGAACTTGAAGGTAAGTTGTACCACAAAAGTGCTCATGGCGGTTCTTCATGCTAGTTTTGACCTTCAGGTGTGGTAACGGTTGAGAAAAAGTAATAAAGAGCGGGATAAATAACTGGGCAAGGCTTTCTAACATGTGGAGTCGTGTGTGAAAACAGTATTTTACCACAGCGCTGTTTCTACCAGTGCTTGTTTGAGCTAATCAATACCGCTTGTTTTTTTTTAAAACTCTGCTCACTGACAGGTGGTGGAGAGTGAGGAGGAAGAGGAACTGATGCAAACAGTTGAAGAGGAGGGCCGTGAAGGTGACCAGTTTGATATCATCCCTCTCTACTCGGAGAGGGCCACTATCTCCAGCTTGGGTTCCTCTGGGACTGGGGGGGGCGCATCCGCCAACACAAGCCCAACCCAACCGGTACTGCTGCTCCTCCTGCTCATCCCGGCTTCCCTCCTCTGGGGGTAGATCAGGATTGGAGGATATAAAGAGGACACACACACACACACACACACATATTAAACGGATGGGCGAGTCATCTTGGACTAATTGCTGATGAAGTCTAACAGGCATCCTGAAGACTTGGACTTCACCTTGTGTCAGTGGTAACCCGTTGATTTGTGTCTTCTGTCTTTCATTTCTTCCCTTCTAACATAATCAGTCACTATGTCTTGTTCTCTCTGGCTTCGGCGGGGTGTTGTGGTCATGTGAGTACAGGTGGGATACGTTTGCTAACGCCAATGCAAATAACATGTCCACACGAACATTTATTCACTGTCGGCTCACAGATATTAACGGTATTTTTGTGTTTTAACGCACTGGCATTAGCGACTGTAAGCAGCCTCTCATGTTTCGCCTCGTGGCCAAATGTTAGAATTGGAGCTCTGGTAAAATGTTAATGACCAAAGACAGAAGCAGAGATGTTATTAAATGGCTGCCATCATCGCTGCAATTTGCAAACCAAGTGTTGTGATGGAACCACATGCCATGACATCTTTGTCCCATTAACAAATCGCTCCGCTGTTTGCTAATGTACAATTATTCTGGGAAATAGAAAATGCAGTAAACATCCAATCGTTTAGGAGTTTTATTAAGAGAGGAAGCATTGTGTCATCGACCTTTATTCAAATCCAGTGTATGTATTAATTACTGAAACCTATTTTCGTTTCATCCGGCATGTTTCATGTTTCGCTAACTAGCTTCCACCACTGAAACTATGGCCCCATTTGTCTTTCTGAAACTAGAAATGTTAGGAAATGAAAAATAACATGCTGGAAAACCATTCTGGAGCGTTCACAAACCAATGAGGACAAGTCTGGGCATGTATGGACGAATGATGTCCGAACGATGCCGATTTGTTTATTCCAAATTCCAGGACTCCCTTAAACAGAACAGAACACGGTAATAAAATTGTCCCTCACAAATTCTGACGTGTTGCTGCTGTTACAACCACACTGTACTATGAAAACTGCTTATCTGGAGAGAAGCAGAGAATGGGGAGAGGACGCTGCATGACCAGAGACACAAAAGAAGCTGCTGTAAGGACCCCTTCTATGAATAAATACGTATTTTCTACATTTTAATTTATTAAATAGATTATTAGATTGTTTGTCCCCCTGAATGTGACTGACCTCTCTCTGGTTCACCTAAAAAGAGACGTAAATATAGCCCAGTGGAGCAGCCTCCACCTCTCTGAACTCTCCATTTACAGAGAACGGAAAATGACCCTCTTGTCTCTCATTGTTTGACGAACATCAGGATGCAAGTGTGTGATAAGTGTACCTGTATGTGCATCCAAGGAGGCATCGATCCAAAAGAATTACAAAGAAAACTGGGCAAACTTTTGTGTTATGATTTGAGGCCGTCACTGTGTCGTTCCCACCCCGTCACGTCTTCACACACGCACACATCGACACACACACACCGCCTGGCTTACGTTAAGCCGACGCAGCTCTTTTTCTCTTTATTGCTCCGTCTGTGTCTCCCTCCTGGGGGACTCTGGACCGGGACCTGAGCCGCTACAGGCGCCGATATGAATAGAGCCGTCCTAATAAAAAACGGCACACCGATAACATTATGAGCTCCGGCATTACGGCAGAACAAATCAAACAGATTCCCAGCAGTCAAAAAGGAGGGCGATGATTACGGCACGTCCGACACAGACAAAAGGAAGGGATTTGGAAATAGGGTGACGTATGGAGGAGAAATTAGAGGAAAAAAACAAGGCCATGTCCCCGTGTGGTCTTTGTGCGTTTGATGTTTTACTTGTTTTAAGTTGGGAGGCAGATAATCAGTCCCTGACAACATCTCTTTATCATCTGACAGGCTTCTGGGAGGTGGCTGCATGTGTGTGTGTGTGTACGCGTGTGTGGGGGATGTATATCATGCAGTTAGAAACAGGGCTCTATGATGAGAACAGAAAGGACCCCAGAGCACAAACAGAGGAGAGAATCTCCAGCTCTTGATTCTCTGTGTCTTATAAATCTTTTGCTGACACTTTTTTCTCGTCTCTCTCCTATTTCAGGGGACTGTGTAAAATTAAGTTCCATTTTGCGGGGTACAGGCAACAGTGGATGGAAATGAAAAGGAGTGTGAAGAGAGGGAAAGAAAAGGAACGAATGGAGGGTTAGTGGAGACCATGGAAAGACTGAATAGTAGAGAAAAAAGGTGATTGATGGAACATCTTGGGGAGAAACAATTGGTAGAATGAAAATACAGAAAAAAAATAAGGAAGAAAGAATAAAGCAAAAAAGGGCAACTATGGAGAGAAAAGAAGTGAAGAAAATAAGAAAATGAAGAAAAGCTGGGAAAACAGGGTAAGAGAGAAAATTAAAAGTTAAAAATGAAAGAGCGAGAGAGGAAAAAATAAGTGACAAAAAGATAGAGAGATAAATATGTGTGGTATGAGAGAGGAGAAGAAAAAGGCAATACATTTGTAAGAGGAGCAAATAAAGACAGCAACAGTAAGAAAAAAAAAAGAAGAAAAAAAGGGAATGATTCGATGCGGTAAGGAGATGGAGGCTGAAAAGTGGAAAAAAAAAGGCAGGAAAAAAGTCTGCGGAGGCAGAAACGAGTAGAGTAGAGAGGACGAGAAGAAACCCAGTCCGGAGACAATTAAAGGCCAGAGAAAAGCGATGGTGTTCTCTAAACTGGATCTGTCTGCAGGTGTTGCTGTGAAAGGCAACAGCTGAAACCCGGAGAGCAATCCCAGAGGCTCCTCCGTCCGAACACACCCCTCAGACAAAGAACCTGCCACTCGCTGAAGCTCGACGCGCTCTCCCATCAGGTCCTAAACAAAACCGATGCTACCCCATCAGGTCCTAAA